GGAAAAACTCCCATTGGTTGTAAATGGGTTTATCGGATTAAACGAAAGGCCAATGGCACAATTGAGCGTTACAAAGCTCGTTTAGTTGCCAAAGGCTATACCCAAACTGAAGTTATAGACTACTTTGACACATTCTCCCCTGTGGCTAAACTTACCACTGTCAGACTACTTCTTGCATTAGCTGCTTCCTCAAATTGGCATCTGAAATAGCTTAACGTAAATAACGCTTTCCTGCATGGTGATTTATCTAAAGAAGTTTACATGATCCTGCCTCCAGGTTTCAGTTCTTCTCATCCCAATCAGGTTTGTCGTCTTCAAAAGTCCTTTTATGGACTCAAACAGGCCAGTCGCCAGTGGTTCTCAAAGCTTACTGTAGCTTTATTATCTTTCGGTTACACTCAATCATCCTCTGATCATTTGCTTTTTGTTAAACACCATAATGATTCCATTACTGCTCTCTTGGTATATGTCAATGATGTTATCTTAGCAGGGAATAATCTCCAGGAAATTGATCATGTGAAAGCTTACCTAGATGCTGCCTTCAAAATAAAGTGTAACAACCACTGTAAACTAGTATAATGCATGCATAATAACAATAGAAAATGGGCCCAAAACTTTTCCTTTTTATTATAAGTCATACGTCTTTTATACACAAAGAACGTCATTTACAAAAATGCCATTTTAAAAGACAACACAGGGGAAACAGTGTAGCTATTGCTCCTCGCTTGCCGACGCCCCTCCGACTGCATCATCACCTAGATCCTACATCCACAAAGGAAAATAACGGGGTGAGCACAAAATAATGCTCAGTAAGTAAAACCCTCTATCTGTCTATCCCCGTATGTGTTACTCTTAATTCTTTCCTCACACTTTCTGTTGTTTCCTACTAAACGTCATGGCCTCATCTTACCGGAGGTAGGCCGGATGGCGTTCACACAGCACCATCTCACTCTTCATGACTACCGGGTGGAATTCACACAGCACCAACCCATTCTTAGTGACTACCGAGTGGGGATCATGAAGCACCTACCCGGTTTTCGTAACTATCGGGTGGAGACCACATAGCACCTACCCGTTCCTCATGACTTTCGGGTAACGATCACCAAGCATTAACCCGTTCCTAATCACTGTCGGGTGATGATCACAAAGCATCAACCCATCTCTAATAAATATCGGGTGATGATCACAAAGCATCAACCCCTTTTCTAATAACTAACCGGGTGATGGTCACAAAGCATCCACCCGTTTCTAATACCTATCGGGTGATGATCACAAAGCATCAACCTACATATCTATTAACTAACCGGGTGATGGTCACAAAGCATCCACCCGTTTCTAATACCTATCGGGTGATGATCACAAAGCATCAACCCAATTCTAATGGCTATTTGGGTGGTGATCACAAAGCATCCACCCGATTCTCATAACTGTCGGGTGATGATCACAAAGCATCCACCCATTTCTAATACTCTTCTCATTCACTCTATTCTAGCACTTCTTATTCTCTCTACCCTTAGAGTAGTTGCATCCACAAAGTTTCCTACTCTTTCTTTTAGGCCACTTCTCAATGCACAATTAATGCCTATGGATGGTTCATCTCCACTAATGCACTTATGAAATACCAACATACAATGTTGCAAAAATTAAGGTTCACTACTCATACTCAAACCTCTATTAGGCATTTCATCCAACAACTCAAGTGCATAATAAAACTCTACTATAACAATAATTCTAAATCTTTCTCTAACCATCCAAAATGGGGAGAAACCCCCTCACATAGCCACATATCCTGCCAAAGAAAGACACTTCCAAAAGGCTTCCTCAATACCCTTCAATTCCATCACAAACTAACTTTCCAACCCACATCTCACTTCTTGTATTTGCAATGTATAAACAATCACAAAGCACTAGAAATCTCTATTTAAGCCTCAATAACATGGCATATAACATGTATATAACATACATACATAAGTGCTATCAAAACCCTAATCAAGAAAATTCCTAAATCTCAACTTGGGTTGGGGTTTACTTACCTTGTTATGGAGAGATTTCACTAACTCTTCCTTTCACTTGGTTTGCTTGACTTTTTCTCTACTCTTAAACAAAAGAACAAAAACCCTCAATATTCAATATATACAAAAACTCACAAAGCTTCACACCCAAAGCAAGAATCCTTACCTTAGGATGCCTTAGGTTGATTTTCTACCCCAAATCACTCCAAAAGCCCTTTAAAACTCCTTGATCAAAAGAAAGAGAATTTGAGAGGAAGCAAGAGAGGAGAGTGGCAATGGAGAAGAAGAATGAAGGGTTTGCAATGACTTAATTCTTTTTAATGAAATTTATACACAAGCATTCCCATTTTGCCCTTACTCTTCTTTGGGAATTCTATCTATATCCTTTGATTCATTACAAACACACCCCCATAGCAACATATTCTCCATGAAAATTCCTTACATTTTACTCCCCACTTTTCCTGCTAATTAGGGGTAGAATGGTCAAATTGCCCTTAGGGAAGAAAATATCTAAAACTTAACAAACATTTTGGTCGGCCTGTCGCCGCGGCGAGGAAGCTTCTGTCGCCGCGGCGAAACTGTCCAGAAGCTTCCCGTGGCTTCAACACCTCTTCGCCGCGGCGAAGATTCTTCTTCGCCCCGGCAAAGCTTGGAACACTGAACTTCTTCTATTTTCAACCAATTTCAGGGCAAGTATTCAACATAACACTCAATCAAAGGTCAACCAAACAATATTACCAAGAAACCAACTCAAATAAGAGCAAAAGAAGAAACAATAACTATGTACCTCAAGTGGGGCGTTACATAAAGGACCTTGGTGATCTCAAATTTTTTCTTGGATTGGAAGTAGCATGTTCCAAACATGGCATTACCTTATGTTAATGCAAGTATGCTCTTGAAATTTTATTAGATGCTGGCTATCTAGCTTGTAAACCTACAACCACACCAATGGACTCTTTTGTTAAATTGTCCAACACTGATGGTGATTTTCTTTCAGATCCTACTCATTACAGAAGGTTGGTTGGATGTCTCCTCTACTTGACCTCTACCAGACCTGACCTATCTTTTGCTGTTCAGCAATTAAGTCAATTTCTTGACAAGCCTACTTTAGCTCATCTTCAAACTGCCAATCGTGTTCTTCGTTATGTTAAAAGTTGTCCAGCTTCTGGCTTATTCTTTTCTGCATCCTCTGATCTTACTTTGAAAACATTTAGTGATAGTGATTGAGCTGGATGCCCTGCTACTCCCAAATCTATTGCAGGTTTTTGTGTATTTATTGGCTCATCTCTAATAAGCTGGCATGCTAGGAAACAAACAACAGTTTCTAGATCATCTTCCGAAGCTGAGTATCGTGCTCTTGCTTCTACGACGTGTGAACTTCAGTGGTTGCATTACTTACTTCAGGATCTTCATGTTCTTCATTCGCATCCTACCCTGCTTTTCTGTGACAACAAATCTGCACTTCAGATTATTGTCAATCCCATATTTCATGAGAGTATCAAGCACATAGAAATAGATTGCCATGTTGTAAGACAAAAGGTTCAATCGGTTCTCATTCATCTCATGCCCTGTTCTTCCTCTTATCAGTTAGCTGATTTACTCACTAAGGCTCTTTCTCGTCCACCATTTCGAGCTAATTTGTCCAAGCTTGGAATGTTAAGTATCCATTCTCCAGCTTGCGGGGGATATTGAAGCATGCTGAAGCTGAAGCATCAATGAATGAAGATTAGATGATGTTAGTCACTGTAAATTAGTTAGTCTATTATTATAATTAGTTAGTAGTATGTTACCGTAATTAGTTAGTCTGTTTAGTTTGTTAATAACATTTGGAAGTTAGTTAATCCAGCTCAGCTAAGTTAGAGTTGGTTACTAAAAAACATGCTATATATAAGAAACCAACTATTGTAACTTTCATCAATCAATTCTGTAATCTTTGATTCTTGAATAGGAAGTATTTTCATTTCAGAATTAGTTTTCTCAGATCGATTGCGACTTTTGCGCAAACAGGTTGTGGGTGGTTGGTTGGGGAGTTTTATCGAAAAACTTGTGGGCAGTGTAGTTGGGGTACATCTTGTGGGTTTTGGCGGCAAGGGATGGCTGGCAAAGAGTCTAAACAAACATAGAAAACAAACACTCCAGTAAAAAAACCTTCAATCAATCTCCATTAGTCACCACAATCAAACAACAAATCCACAAAAAAACCAATCTCCTCATAAATCAAGCTATCGCGCGTTGAGGCAGTCATGGGTGAGTGGTTAATGGTGAATGGTTGGCAGGAAGAAGATGAAAGGCGGGCAAGATGGTGGCAAGAAGGCAGTTTCTATAGGTGGGGTTGGTGCGTTTGTTCAAAGCCAGAAAATCACGTAGGTGAGTGTTATCGCAGCTGGCGGCTATTGTAGGGTTAAGGCGGTAAGGGGATGGGTGGGTATGGAGGAGGAAGGGCCGCTGAGTGTGAAAATAGGGTTGGAAGCAATCTCCGTCGCCATTTTCCCACTCACCGACCCTTTCTCTTCTTCAAGAAATGGTGCAGTTGGGTGGCGAGGTTGGCAACTGGGGTTGCTAGTGGAGGCGATCTTTGGCCAGCGATGGTAAAGGTGTTGATGATGCCGCTGGAACTCAACCAGTTGCCACCAGCCAAAGAGATGAAAGATAAGAGGGAGAGAGAATGCAACAGTGAAGGAAATAAAAAGACCATTTTAATCTTTTAACTGTTAAAAAAATGAAATGGAGTCCATTTAAGGGTGGGAATCTGAAATTTATAAAACCAGGGGTACGAAATTTAGATTTTGCTAAACCTTCGGTGGGAATATGTCGATTACTCTATGATATCGGTATAAAGTTGACACACTAAGGACTTGGAGTTATTCTCTTATATCGGTCTTTGAGGTTTATTGTTAAACCTAACAAATGTAAATTACAAGGATGTAAGTGACAGTGAATACATTAGTAATGGACATATATTTTATTAATTTGAGGAACTCCTGGGACAGTCCAATATCAATTCGATATAAATATCATGTATCAAAAATATATAATATATCAAATTATATCCTCTCTATTTTTTGAGGAAATTCTTGAACCAACGAGCCGAGAGTTTGGGGTATCTTTGTAATCCATTTTTATAATCCACGTAATTGATGCCAAAACGAACCGTATAACCTGAAAACCACTCAAAATTGTCCAACAATGACCAAGCAAAATATCCCTTCACGTTAACTCCATCCCTACCACAATAAATAAAAAGCAATTAAAGAAGAAAAAGAAGTCACTAAATTATTTAATTATTCACTAATATTGTCATTAGAGAGTCACTTACTTAATGGCTCTCTGAAGAAAAGAGAGATGCTGATAATAGTAATCAATTCTCATGTTGTCAACAAGGGCTTCCTCTAGTGATAATGTGGCATTGTTTGCTTCATCAATTCCTGCAATTAATTAAGCAAATAAGAGCAATAATAGTTAGAATTAAATGGCTGTTTAAATTCAATTTTTATTTTTCATTACGTTAACGTGAAGAAGAATTATTATCATGATAAGCGAATTTACCATTTTCCGTTATATAAATGAGGGGATTATTGTATTTTTTCTTGGTATAAAGTAAGAGATCCCAAATCCCCCGTGGATAGATATAAAGCCAATCGGATGCAGCCTGCATTGATCAAATCCAATAACGTCAAAGATTAAGGATATGTGAACATATATTTTTATCCTCAACAGAACGAGAGATACATATAGTTATATTCTAATGCAACCCTCTATATTTTTTTAAAAACCTGAAAATTATGTTTAATAGCTCTGGCTAATAGTTTACTATCATTAGTAATATTAAAAAACAAAACTTTTAATCGAAACTGTAAAAAAGTTGTCACTGAATACCTAATGATACACAAAAAAAAGGATTCAAATTTTTTGTAGTACCCATTTGAGAAATTTTCCCCACGATTTGTTTAACTTTTCAAACTCTATTCTATTTAAAAAGTGAAAAACGTGTTTTTTTTTTTTTTTTAATATTAACTATTCAATTCAAAATCTAATCATATTTTATTCAACTCAAAACATTTAACAATTACATTTCTTAATAAAAGTTTATAAATTAACAAAAATACCCTACCCACCCAAGCAATATCATCCACCAACAACCATCGTCGATCGCTAACCGCAGGCGCTGGAACAATGCACGATAGGTCGGATCTGACTGATCGTGGGTCGATCTGGCCGTTTCTGGCCTGATTCATGGTGGATCTGGCTGGAAACAATCAGATCTATAATCAAAGATTTGGCCGTTGACGATGGTCATATCTTGGCCGTTGTTAACGGACAAACGATGGTCAAGATGTGACCATCGTCAACGACCAGATTGATGCACCATAGGCCAGACTCAATTGGTCGTGCGTCATTCTGGCAACTGCCAGCCACTGTCCGGTGGTGGTGGCTGGCTGTTAGCAATCAGTTGGGTGGATATGGGTGTTTTTGATAATTTATAAACTTTTATTGTAGGGGGTGCTTAGTTAAATAAACAAATGTAAAAAGTTAAAAGTAAGTTAAATATTTTCAGAAAATTTTTTCCAAAAATATACTAAACACATTATCAGAATCTCATCATATCCTATTTAGAATAAGATTTCAGAAATCCTATTAAAAAAAATGTACCAAACGGGCCCTTTATTTATACATATAAAGAAAACAAAATTTATTTGAAGAGAAAACATTCAATAGCATTGAATATCTATTAAAAAAAACATGATGAAACTAGTAAGTTCTCTCAAAGAAAAGTGTGAATTAATGTTGATTAACTTGAAGAAAAGGAAGTGTACCTTTGGCCCGATTGGGATTCCATTACGTGAAGCTACAAAAAGCAATCAATCCAAGTATCGTTAATTAGAAATTAAGGAGTTAATTAATTAGGGAAATTAAATTAATTAAGCTTTAAAATTTGAATCTAATTGTGCTAATTACTTGATTGATTAACTCGAGGATCAGTAGAGTAGCTTTTGTTTCCAGAGTTAAGCTGAGGTGCATAGGCTGCATAGAGAGCAGTATAATAATTTAAACCGAGAAAGTCAGAAGATCCTTTAAGCAATTTGGATTCCTCTTCAGAGAATTTTGGCAATCTGTTTCCAACAAGAGAATGCATGCTGTGAGGATAATCTCCATCTGTTATTGGGTCCATAAACCTGCAAAAAATAAATAAATAAATAAATAATTGGGATTGTAGGCTTTGTTCATGTACTATCAGCTAAAACATAAATTGATTAAACATAAGTTTACAAATAAAGATCAAATTCTAGTGATAAGGTCACACCTACAAAACAATTCTAGTGGTTAATGAGTGGGATTAAAGTTTTCCATCTCGATTTTTCCTTTTTCTTTTTTGGAAAAAAAAAATGGAATACTGAAAGTTTATCGGTGGAGCTTGAACAGTAGAAATTCATTTGAAATTTGTGATATTAATCATTCTTATGTTATGCACATTTGACTAAACTAAAAAATATTACTTTTGATTTGAAACTTATTATCAGTCATTAATTTCTTACTATTCATACATAATGAGTTGGAGAAAATTAATAACAAAAGTTAGTACGCTTATCCAATTAATAAGCACCTCTCTTCATTAAAATAAACAAAATTTCCACTATAGACATGTCTTTTCAACAAAAAGAAAAAATGAAAAATGAAAAAGAATTTAGACTTTAAACCAATTTCGAAATTAATAAGGTAAGTGCTTACTTTCTATATTTAAAAAGCTTATCTAATGTAGGCCATTACAAAAGATAAAATTCTTCTCCTTTTAAATTTCTTTTTTGCCCTTTTCTAGTAACACATCTTTCTGGAACTGGATTGCAATTGCCATATAAAAAGAAGAAATTCTATTATTACTTTAAGATATATTATTTGTCAAGACCTTGGATATATATCATTAGATTTGAATTATAAAATATCATCTCAATCCTATGAAATAAATCCAACGGTGTCGAAATTAATATTAAGATGTCTTGAGCACAAAATTATATGATATAATTTTCTAATCCGGACGTTTTAATAATAATTTGTTAGAATCTTCAATATATACCATTGAATTTAAACTATAAAATATCATTTCAGTCCTATGAAATAAATTCAATGGTGCATAAACATAGTTCTCACAAAATTCATATCATGACGTTTTCAGTAGAGAATTACTCTATATACACATAACTAACCCAATATAAACCTTTTTAAAACAAGTATATATTGATGTTTTAGAACATCATTTTCTAAAATATGAAGTTTATTTTCCCTTTTATTGGACTAATGAGTTAGCAAACCATCATAAATTTCTTCAATTTAATTTGACAAAACCCTTTTATGAGATTTCTTAGAAATCAATCAAAACCCTTTTGTATAACAAAATTCTTCATCAGTTTTTCAAACTAGAACGATCAAAAAAAAAAGTAAATCAATGGACTTTACTTATATAATTATTTGTAAACCATCGATTGTGCGTTCAATTAGATATTGTTTAGTTAATTAATTGCAATATATATGATTGATTCACCTAATTGGGGTGCATCGATTTGATGATGTGTGATAACAGTTTCATTTATAAAATTAAATGCATAGTCAACTAAGAATATAAACCACAGAAATCAATTAGGGGCTTAAACTCTTAACTTTGTGTAGTGGGGTTGTTGCGTTGCATTATTAATTAGTTTAAACCACTAATTATTTATTAATTAGAGTTAGGAATTAATTAGAGTGAATATAGAATAATGATTAATGATATTTCTTACCATCCAAACATGAAATCAAGAGCTCTTTCTGCAGCATTTTGATGGTGCTTTGCGGAGGAGTAAGGTACCATCCAATGTGACACTAGAGCGATTCCTATCTTCCCCATTTGAGTTTTCTGCACAACTTTTCTACCACTAATTAGTTTAATATTAAAATTTTGTTATTTCATAATTTCCTCGAATCAAAAACTCCTGAATCATATATATATAAAGATGTCCATGGAAAAGAATGACTGCATGTATACTGATAGAATAAACCGACTATCACAAACACATGGGAGAAATCATAAAATGAAGAAGCTAGTGAACCTGATATTTATTTCTGTAGAGATTGACGGCGGATGCATGAGCAAGAAGCTGATTATGTGCCACCAAATACGGCTCAGTTGCGGAATCTCCACCGGTGCAGTTCAACCCTTGCCACTCCGAACACCGTGCGGGTGCCAACAAGCCGGAGGCGTAGCCACCGATACTGTAACTCCATGGCTCGTTCAATGTTATCCAATGCTTAACTCGGTCGCCAAATTCCTTGAAGCAAACCTCTGCATAGTCTCGAAAATCATTCCTGAAAAATATTTTTTCTTCAATGTCCAAAGATCAAATCAATTTATTTTAAAATTGTGAAATGGAAAGCAATTCCTGAAAGAACTTACACAATGCGAGAGCTTAAAAAACCATCATATTCATCTTCTAAAGCTTGGGGAGTATCCCAGTGAAAAAGGGTTATAAATGGTTGTATGCCTGCACTTCGTATCAAAGAAACACGTATAATTTATGTATAAATGTAACTATTTATATAGTTTTTTCTCAGATGAAACTAATAATAATATTACGATTAATTTGGTTGGTTCCTGACCATTGGATAGAAGCTCGTTGATTAGATTGTTGTAGTATCTGATTCCTTCCTTGTTCACTCCTCCACTCATGTTCCCATCTAATTAGGAATTGAAATAAAAATAAATAAATAAAGGGAAGAGGAAATTATAATTAGTAAAGAAATTAATTAACTTGAAAAAAATTTCTTCTAAATTATGATTTTAATTAATATTTCACATAATCTAAATCTTGTAGACATATAAAAAGAATTATTCAAAAAAAAATATTTGGTTTATATTTGCAAAATTAATTAATTAAACAAAAACAAGAGAAATTGATGCAGATATTATCTTACTTGGCAAAATTCTAGGCCATGAAATGGAGAATCTATAAGCATCTAGATTCATCTCTTTCATAGTTGCAACATCTTCCTATATTAATTAAATACAACAATTAAATTATTAAATTAAAAGATTTAAGAAATCTTATTTTAAATAAATTAAAATATAAATTCATTATCACAATAAAAGGATACCTTATAACGATGATATGAATCAATAGCCATATCTCCATTGCTGCCATCCAATATTTTACCTGTTAATTAATTATACACATCCGTGTATACAAATTAATACAAATATAAATCAAATAATTAGGGATCTATATTTTTAATTTCCTGTTAATTAAATACCTTCTTTTAATTAATACAAACGAAATTCCATTTTAAAACATTTTTTGAAGAAAATGTTACACCCACAATCTCTTCTCACAAACTTTTTTTCACTATCCTGACATGGCAGCTCGCAATTGATTAGCTCATAATGAGTCACATCTAGGTCTCACCTAATAAATTGTAACTGATCAATTACGAACTGCTACGTCGAGATTATGAGAGAAAGTTTATGAAAAAAAGTTGTAGGTATAACATTACTCTGTGTATAAATATACGAAGCTCACTAATCAAATTAGGGGAATTAAAATTAGCATCACATATGGGATTTTGTAACGTAAAAATTTGCTTCATTTTCTTTTCAAATTTATCTCTTATTCTATAAGGTTTTTAATTTTCTTTTGAATAATTTTTTTCTGGTTTAGGGCAAAAGAAATTGCATAATTTTATCTGAAATAAAGCCTTAAAAAAAAAAAAAAAAAAAAGGGATGCCCCATAATTTTTTTTTTAAGAAAGAGAAAATTCTTTGTATCAATCAAGAAACAAAAAATTACGTAGTAAAGAGAATATCCTATTACACTTTATTTAACAGTTATCGTGTCGATGCCTTCGATATTTTATTATTATAAAATAAATAAAATATCAAAAAGGTGTAACAACTGGGTATATATATATATAAAACAGCGTGCATAGTGTGACCTAACTATACAAAATTAAAAATTACTATAAAAAAAAAAAATTATGTTAAAATTAAAATATAACAGTTTTGGGAAGACGATTTAACTTTTAATATTGAATAATCAAATCAAATTATAAAAGTTAAGAACAATTTAATATAAAATAAAAACAAAACACTCTTTTAGATGCCTTTAATTGGGGCACAGAATCTCGTAAAGAAATATTTTTTTTTATATTAAATAGTCCTGTCATATTTTATGGCGAATCTTTGAACTTGGAATTACTTTTATTATGAAATTTTTTTGGCTTATCCATCTTCAAAAACACATGCTCCAAACTTTTATTTATTTATTTATAAAAATCGAATTGTTTAATGCGAATAGATCAATCTAAATAATTGTGAATTTGTCCTTTGCCGGCACCATTAATTAAAGATATTTTAAACTAATTAATTAAAATATTTATAAATCTTGCAAACAAAAAAACTAAAATAGATTTACATGCAAAAACTGTAAAGTACTGATATTATATATAATGCAGAAATGGAATTGCAATGAAACCTTTTTTTCCCTTCTCTCAAAATATTGATGGAATGAGAAAGATATTTTTAAAAAAAAAATTCATTAGACTATTGAATATAAATTAAAAATAAAACAAGACAATTTTTATGATAATATTATCATTCTAATTTTTTGTTTAAATTCCCATTTCCTTATTGCATCCTAAATAATTTATTTTATAATCTCCTAAAGTGAAGATGAAAGAAGAAAATCAATAAGAAAATTAAAGCTCTTCTTGATAATATTATTGACGAATTTAATTAATAAACCAGAGAGAAAAAAAAAAAAAAAAAAAAACCTGGATATTTGTGAGTGTAAACATCCCATAAACTTGCTCCTCTACCACCTTCTCTTGCTCCACCTTCGTACTAAGAAAATAAATAAATCATTCAGAATTAATCTAAACATGTTTATTTTATAACGAACGTTAATACATTTTTTCATAAAGAAACACACATTAATTCAAATATATACTTAAATCAACAATTTCTTAAATTTTGAGTACCTGGTAGGCAGAAGAAGCAGTTCCAAAAATGAAGCCAGAGGGAAAGCTGGTCCTATTAAGAGGAGAAGAAAAGTCATAAGTTGACGCTGAAACAGAAGCACTTTTTTTCACTGAGCTTATTAAAAGAAGAACAACAAGTAATTCTAAGAGAAAATGGGTTTGGTGAATCGCCATGGGTGAAGAATTTTGATGCAGCAATTGCTTTTGATTCTAAGAGGAAACAAAATGACAAGGAAGACGACATGATATATTATAACCATATATTATATATACTCAACTACCTTTTAGAAATTCTAAATTATCATTAATTAAGTGAAACTATTTAAAGAGTAGTCTCGTGATCTGTTTTCTTTTTCCAATTCAATATAGAAGAAATTAGGATAGATCTATTTAGTTATATTGAATTTGGGATCTAACTTTAATATAAATTTATCTAAACTTTTAAAGATTTTATCACTGTTTTAAAACCCGACCTGGCCCGGCTGGTTTGATCAATCGGACTGGGACCCGAGGCCTTCTCTGGGCTGGGTCATCCCTATTCACTATTTAAAACCCCAAATTTATGAAGAAGCAAACCCTAGAGAGGAGGGAGGTGATCGGCAAGAAGAGGGTGGTTGGTCTGTTGGGGGGTTTTGAAGAGGAAGCGTCGATGAGTCAAAATGTGGCAACAGAGGTGATTTTCGGTGATTGAAACGACCGAAAAAGGCAAAAGTCGTGCGGCCACAACAACGGGTTGTCGTCGGTGATTGGCAAGGTGAAAATGGGGGGTGAGATGGTTTTGGTCAGGAGGCTGAGGGAATGTTTTAGTGGTGATAGGGGCGGTTGTCGATGCTAGAAACAAGCCTATTTGGCTTGGGTTGGCAGCCACGCGTGATGGTGATTTCATCTAGATCTTGGACATATTTGTTGGGGAATAACTCAAATGATGAATGGGATCTACATTTGGTGCGTCATCGCCGCCAATTAGTTGGTCTCCAATCTGCATTTGGTCAAATCATAGGGGTGTGTTTACTAGATTTCAAACCTGTAGGGATTGATGTAATTTCTCAAGGGTGTGTTTGTAGGATTTCAATCCTCTAGACATGTTGACGTCATCAGTCTGACCCTCAACAGATCAACCCAGGATCTAACCACTTTGCCAGGTTTCACCCAAAGTCAGTTATTAAAACATTGGATTTTATCATTGATTGGCCTATTTTCACCGTATACGTGTCCACAAATCTTTTCTTTATCATATTTGTAGGTAAATTGGTTATGTTGATGATTAGGGCTTGGATCGGATCGAATCAGTTTTAGTAAACTTAGAAATAAGATAAGGTTCTTCAACTGGTATGAAGAAGAAGGTCCAAAGAAGGAGGAACCGAATATATATCAAAGATTTACATTACCGTATGCATAGTATAAATAAAAAATCTAAGTAAAAATTGTGAACGAATTTTCATTAATGTTTTCTTTAGGAGGTCGAATGGACTATATAAGAGGGTTGTGTTACATAATTTGTTCATAATAAAACTCTTCTTAGTTATTAGAGTTCACTCTCAATTTCTCTCAAGCCAAACATTCATTTATAAAACATTCACTTGTATATACAAAAAATGAAAGATCAACGATTCTGATGCGTACGAGAGATAACATAAATTAATTAGTTGATAGCTTCTTTTAATATAAATTATTAAGACCACTCTCAAGAGTGGTAGATCGAGTAATTCTCATCCTCACAATGTTGGGTTTCATGATTTAACTTGAATCTTGTGAAGGAATAAATCTGAGTCAACTAAAAGATACCGGGTTATCGTTCTAGCATATCATTATAAATAATTCCAATTATTATCAGTAAAAAAAAAAAAAAAGTGTGATATAATGTATGCAAAGAATTAGTTATAGTGCTCTTTAAGAATACGGGTTATTTATAGTCAAGCCTTGTCTGTTTAGCTTTTTTGTAGTTGGTTTTACAGTGACCATTCTTTGGTTTAGGGAAAAAACGACCGGAACCACATGTGTTTGACCTTTTTTGTTTTTAGTGAGTACTTTCTAGTTTTGAAATGTATTCGACCTTTAATTTTATCAATTTAGCTGATAGAATTTGAGTTATTGGGTCAGGCCCACTCAAATTCTATCATTAACCTTTAAAAAATATATTTAGGTAAATAGTAAAAACATCGGCTCCGTTTGGTTCAAAATTTAGGGGTTTTGGAAAAAGTTTTCTGAAAAAAGTTTAAAAAAAGTTGAATTGGGCGGGTATTACGATGTAGGATTTATAAATTAATAAAATACCCCCTATATTTGTTTATTTACAAAACACCCCCTATAATAAAATCTTAAAAGTTAACAAAAACACCCCCAACCCAATGTCAAATACGGGCAGCTGACCACCACCGTCGGAGGGTGGTCGGGTTCACCGTATTGGCGCATGACCGGCTAGATCTTGCTGGTCGTGCGCCGATATGGCCTTTGCCGGCCAGATCCACGGTGGATTTGGCCGACAAAGGCCAGATCTACGGCCAGATCTGACCATATTTGCTCGTCAACGACGACCAATAAACGGTCGTCGTTGATGGTCAACGACGACCGTTTGTTGGCCGTCGTTATAAACTGTTACGGCCAAAGATCTGGCCGTCAACGACCAGATCTTTGGCCTTAGATCTGGCCTTTTCTGGCCAGATCCACCGTGGATCTGACCGGAAAAGGCTAGATCGGCGCACTACCGACCAGATTCAGCCGGTAGTGCGCCATTCTAACAGATTCCGGCCACTTTCCGACAGTGGTGGCCGGAATCTGGTAAATATAAATTATTGGGGTGTTTTTGTAATTTTTAAAAAAATATTTAGGGGTATTTAATTAAATTATCAAATTTAAAGGGTTTAAAAAAAGTTGAATAATATTGAGAGTAGTATTCCCAAAAAT